GAGTTATTTGACTCAGACCTGCACATCAGAGTGGAAGGTGATTTATCAGAGTAAAATAATTCCTTAGTCTATGGGGCCCAGCTAAGCCCAAACTATGAGCAAGAGCAAAAAGAACAGGTATTTGGGAGTTTCCTGGCAGATATTATAGAAAGAATCTTGATTTTTCAGTTAACCATATTTGTCAGTCATTTATATTACTTTTTGGAAATTTTGAGACTACTTTTGACACGTGCAAAGCTAAACACTTTCATTGGCAGTGCTTGTATAAGCCACAACTCACCAGCCAGACAGGGGAATCTGTATCTATGCCTGAGACTTACAAGCAGGCAAGCAAATAACACCTCATTTGGTATTATCCTAGTCAATATGAAAATAGTTTATAAACAGAACATTGTATTTTTATTTTGAGAAACCTGAGGGACAGGCAATTATAGCAGACACCAAGATCTCCTTCAGATGCTCCTAGCAACATCATTACAACTCACTTACCCAGTCATTCTTAGCAATTCTAAAAAGAGATGGAGACTCATTAAATAAATTAATTTTAAATGCTAAAAAGTTACTAAGATCCTCATACCATAGTATCCACTCTTAGCCATCTATTAAGTCAGTAGATAAGCGTTATCTCTAACAATGTAAGAAAATAAATAAAGGCTAATTAAAAAAAAGAGGTCTTAAAATGCAACAAAATTGTGCCATACCCCATGTTAGTATTCTGCCAGGCTTACTGTACAAGCCCAACACATGTGGCCATCATGATTATTGGTGGAGAAGACATAAAGTGATAAAACCATTGTAGATTCAGCTGACTCATATTAATTTGTATTTAAAGTACAAATTTAGAGCCTTCCTGATTTTTCAAGGAGTTAAGTCTGTTCTACTCTCCACTCTGTCTCTGGTGAATCATCTCAGCCCCCACATCTCTGGCCTGTACTCCACCTATTGTATGCATAAATAAATAAATCTTTAAAAACAATACAAATTAAACTATAATAGCACCTACAAATACTTGAATGACTGTAAATATCTATGATGGAATTATTTATTCAAAATGTAGATAATGTGGCCCTCCCTGGTGGCGCAGCGGGTTAAAGCACAGCACAAAGAAGCTTAAGCCACTTCCGCATGAGTTCGATTCCCGCCTGCCCCGAAAGTAACCACATGGCCCGGCAGACCCCTCCTGACCCGACTGCTGCTCCCCTCAGCAGTGTACTTCGTCCATCTGCCTGTTCTGCTCCCCACTCTGTCTCTGGTGAAGTCTCTCAACCTCCGCATCTCTGGCCTGTACCCCACTTCTGTACGAATAAATAAATCTTAAAAAAAAATGTAGATAATGTTTTGTGTGCAAAACAATTGATTTGAATCTGTTGCAAAATAACTCTGCAGAGCCATTAGTCCACAGTGTTAGTACCTTGGTCATAGTAGAAGAGCATGAATTTTAGAATCTCACAGACCTGGACTCAAGTTGCAGTTACTTGTGGATGATGATGTTCCATCTTTGACACCTTTGAGCCACAGATCCCTGGCCTCCAAAATTAGGGATAATACCTTTCATAAGATTGTTGGAGGATTCAGTGAGATCATGTCTTTGTGACCATATATAATGGGTATCAAATATTCATTTGTATTCTCACAATTTGAACATAAATTTATAATCATATTAATTTGAAAATAACTACTTAATTTGGACATTAAGATCTTCCTACCTAAAACTCATAAACCCACACTCTAAAAATAGGCAGCAGAATCCAGTATGCTTCGTGTTCAACAGTACCATTAATACTTATTCTTTTTTCATTCTTTATGAGAATCTAGGGATGTTTCAGCCTCACCTTGAATCTTTCACTTAACTTTTCATTTTCTCTCCATTCCTCCCTTTCTTAAGTTTTCTCATTACACTTAGCCTGGAAATTCCACATAAGTGACCTGACCCAACACTCTTCATGGGACTGGCCATGAGCACATCATCAATGTGATATTGTCACTGTCACTGGTGATAGCCCATGTGTTTCTAAGAGCTACCTTGGAACAGACAGAACCATGAAAAATCGCTTTTAGAGAGTTCACCCTGCGACTTCCCTGGTGGTGCAATGGATTAAAGCACAGCACTATGAGAATAGGTACAGCTGCTTCAGCATGAGTGTGATCCCCAGTAAGGGTCAGCAGACCTCTCCTGACCTGCCTGCTGCTTCCCTCAGCAATGTACTTCGTAGACCTGTCTGTTTTGCTCCCAACTCTGTCTCTGGTGAACCTTTTCACTGCCCTCACCTCTGGCTTGTACCCCAGTTCTGTATGCATAAATAAACTTTTAAAAATAAACAAATAAGGCCCTCCCTGGTGGCGCAGTGGGTTAAAGCACAGCACTGAGAATCTAAAGCCGCTTCCGCATGAGTTCGATTCCCGCCTGCCGCCTGCCCCGGAGGTGACCACATGGCGTGCCAGACCTCTCCTGACCCGCCCGCTGCTCCCCTCAGCAGTGTACTTCGTAGATCTGCCTGTTCTGCTCCCCACTCTGTCTCTGGTGAAGCCTCTCACCGCCCCTGAGCCTCTGGCCTGTACCCCAGTTCTGTATGCACAAATAAATAAATCTTTAAAAAAAATAAATAAATAAATAAATAAATAAATAAATAAATCTTTATTGATGATTGATGGGTGGTGGTAGAGCAAGTCCATTGTGAATCATTTTCCTGATAGTGAAGGCAGAGACCACATATAGGTTCAGGGCCACCTTGCTCTTCTTCCCCAAAACGGAAGTCCAGAGGCCATTGAGAAGGCAGGCTGTTCTACAAACAGGGGGGATAAAATGAATGTAGTGAGGTAGTGAAGAGATTAACTCTGAAGAGCATATTCTCATAGGAGTTGTGGTTTATTTCATTGCCAAGTAGCCTGGAAAGCTGTTTGACTCAGCACCATGCTATGCACCATCTGCTACTCAGTATCCTTCACATGTCTCTTCACTTGGGGGATGTGTGGAAGGATTATGTGCAGTGACAGATACAGAGGGACGCTGTTCAGACTCTTTCTGCCTCTGGGAAGTGTGCTTTATATATTTCAAGACCATCTCATCCATTCCTTGTTTCTGGAACTGCACAATGCCCCTATCACTTCCTTTGCACATAGTGTGAAGAAAAATACTTCATGCTTTCAGAAGGCACATCCTTGGCCAAATCCTTTTACCCCAATTCCTCTGGTAGTTTGAGAAACCAGCATCCATATTTTATTTTATTTATTTTATTTTTAACATTTTAAATAATATAATAGTTTATTTTTACATCATTTTGTGACTTTTTCCATTTCATTTGTAATCCGTGTGAGCTTCCCATCACCAAATCACCTGTGTGCCATCACCATAGTCCAGTGCTCTCCCCCACAACCCTTATTTTTGATCCCATTCCTCACTCCACCCCCATAAAATGTCTCTGGTATATAGTTGTTCATTATTATTATTATTATTATTATTCTTTTCTCCCCTGGTCCTTTATACTCTTGCTATGAGTGAAACCATCGTCTATTTTTCCTTTTCTTTCTGGCTTATTTCACTAAGCATGATCCCTTCCAGCTCCATCCATGTTGTTGCAAAAAGTCATGTGTTTATTTTTTTAGTTGCTGAGTAATATTTCATTGTGCATATGTACCACATCTTTTTAATCCGGTCATCTACTTTTGGGCATTTGGGTTGATCCCATGTCTTTCTGATTGTAAATAAAGCAGCAATAAACATGGGGGCCAGCATCCATATTTTTACTCCCTGGTTTTGCATTGATTTCCCAGAGTAAGTAGCCACTATTTGTCAGAGGAACCATTGCAGCAAGGAGCCAAGTTCACCTGTTGAGATCATGTGACATATTGGTATGGGAATTATGAGACAATGGAATGAGGAACAAAGAGCAGGAGGCTCAGTATTTCAGAGAAACAAACAACTCAGGAATGAGAGTTGTATTTCCTGTTTATTTCTCTTTTTTAGGCTAATTATCTGTTTCTTCTTCTCAAATTTAGACACTGTTTGCCTGGCATAATTTCAGATACCCAGAAACAATCCACCAAATATATGCCTCTAGTCCAACCTGGGGGTTCATTAGATTAATTAATTATAGTGGTTAATAAATGTTTTGAAATCCTTTTATTAAAAGGGCTACCTAAGTCCAGAGTACTACTATAATCAGCCCTAATGAGGTCAGTGGTTTAAAATGAGGGTTTTAAACCATATATAAAGCTCCTTCATCTATCAGTGGTTTAGGATGAAGGTAGGAAGAGACAGGTGAGTCTACATGCTGGCATTTAAAAGTTTCTCCACAGCAGTAGAGCTACATTGAGGTCTGCTTGGATTGAAGCCTGGTCCACAGTGATCTTCCAACTAATGGATTCTCAAATTATCAAAAACTTGTTATAGGACAAAGTCCACCACTTTGTGCAAGGCTGACTTGCAACTTGCTGTTGAGTAGGGAAGACCTTCTCAAACAGATTGGAGAGATTTCCTCTGCAAGTTCACAAACCAGGTTAGTGCTCGACTTTTTGTATCTTGTAAAATGAGTAAGGTGCCATTGAATGAAACCAAAAATAGAATTGATGGAAAAGTCCAGAGAAAGAGTGGAGGAGGAAATTGCACAGAGTCATAATCTCAGTAGTTTCTTCTGGTTTTCTACAGAAACTGTAGAACAAGAAAGGGTATTATAATTATGTTATGGCAAAGCTTGGAGATAGAATGAAAGTGAGTATGGTGGGAGACTTGGGAGGGTATAACATCTATAAGAAGTTCATGTCAACATGAAGTTGGACTAAAATGAATTGGGAATTTATGCTCAGAAAAGAGGGTGATCCAATGACCCATAATTCTGAATCTGTGAATAATATCCTGAACAGGAAAAAGAACATTGAAATGAAAATTACTCTGAACTTATTTTTAAATAAAAGCAAGTTTCCTTCAGAAATGTTTCAAGTTTTAAAATTAACCAGTTTCTTGTTCAAATCCTAACAGGTGTTGTAGGATAAGAACCACCACCATGATATCCTCTGTCCTATTTTTGGGACTTATTTCTCTCATTGGTAAGTCACTAACTGATGTTCAGCATTGCTGCAGGTTGTGAATTCGAAAGAGAAATGTTACATGTGGTGGAGGAGTGGGCTCTCCAGCTGGCCATTAATCTGCTGTTTATTTCCATATTAAGTGTGAATGCAAATTTAGCTTGCTAAGCAAGTGAAGGTGGTGTCAGTGAGAATTTGTGGAATTGCCGTAGGAAGAAAGACATACACAGAGTTTGTCTTACTGTCAGGCAGTAAATATATATATATATATATATATTTGTATATATGTATATATACACACTCAAGTTTTATACACACAGACACACACACATACACACACACTAATCTGGGAGTTTAGGAGGAAGAGTTCACTTCCAGTCAAGACCAGAAAGACTTTTGGGGGAGACCTGATGATTGAAAATGCTTGATGTGTCAATAAGAGAAGTGGAGAGCCTGCTGGATGAAGATGCCTATACAAAAACTCAGAAGCAGAAATGCATGAAAGTTTTGGGATATGGTAAGTAGGTCAGCAATTTCTGAGGGCTGGAGGGTTAGATTGGAGCAATGCTAAGGGACTTTAAATAAGAGATGATCAAAATATTGGCCTAAAAAATGAGAAACGATCATAAACAGTATTCAAGTTGTCTTTATTAATAGAGCAATGATTGAGAAGAAAGTGATTTTAAAATGTTTAATTCTAAATTTGCAATGCAAGACCACTGAAAAGTGACTATTTGCAGATACTTATTGTTAAAGACACGAAAACATAGTATGATTTTTTTATTCCTTTAATTGCCAGGTGAGAGCAGAGTTTATAGTCAGTGGACTAATTATGAGCTACCATACTAGCTATGTTTAACTGAAACATAACTATAATTAAGAAGTATCTATGTGTTTATGATGCCAATGCAGGTAGTGTAGGGTTCATGGTCATATTCCAAACTTCTTACTACCATGGTTCCCAAACTTAGTGATGCTGGGTAAGGTGCAGATTCTTTGACTTTATACCTAACAATTCTAGTTCAATAGGCCTAGAATGTCGAACCTAGAGATATGAATTTTTAACAGCTATCCCTGATCACTTGGTATGTGCATCATTTACTGAGTATAGCAAAGGCTGCCTTTCTAGTAAAAGGATAGGGAAGTTGTTGGTATATGGAAAATTAATCCAGATAATTTCAACAATCCCTTTCCTTCTCATTTATTCATTCATTCACCCTTCCATTTATCCATTCAATAAATATTTATTAATGTCTATTCTATGACATTATTCTAAGAGCCCAGGTAGATACAGCAGAAAAAAGTTCTAGTGACAGAGCCAGGGAGAAAGAGAAAGAGAGAGGGACGGATGGAAGAAAGGAAGGAAGGAAGGAAACAGGATGAAATATCAGGTAGTGATGAGGGACATAAAAAAAAAATAAAATCATGTAAGGTAATGGGAGACATGGAATGAGACATGAGCACATTCCTTATTTTTTAAAAAACTATTATTTGTTACAAAATTTAAAAAGTGGTATAGTAAGCTATTTTTGTCAGTCTCAGCCCATTGATATTAAAGTTACTGGTTAGAAATAGCTGTAGGTGGCCCTCCCTGGTGGCGCAGCGGGTTAAAGCACAGCACTGAGAAATAGCTGTAGGTAGCAGAGTAAAACAGATTTTGGTTCACATAAAAAAAAAAAAAAGAAATAGCTGTAGGTAGGGCCCTCCTTGGTAGCACAACAGGTTAAAGCACAGCACTGTGAAGCTAGCCTCAGCACAAGTTTGAGCCCTTGCCAGGGAGGTGATCCACATGGCGCAGCAGACCTTTCCTGTCTCGCCGCTGCTCCCCTCAGCAGTGTACTTCATCAGTCTTCCTGTGTGCTCCCCACTCTATCGCTGGTGAATCCTCTCACCACCCTGCATCTCTAGCCTGTACCTTAGTTCTGTATGTATAAATAAATAAATATTTTTTTAAATGAAATAGCTGTAGGTAGTCACTGGGGGATAGGCAGGGGCAGTGAGAGGATTCACCAGAGACAGAGTGGGGAGCAGAACAGGCAGATTGTCTAAGTACACTGTTGAGGGGAGCAGCTGGCATGTCAGGAGAGGTCTGCAGCAACTTTTATTAGTTTTGGTCCCTCTTTATAGTGTTTCTTTTGAAAATATAAACAAATTACATATACACATAATTATATTCTCTCTTCTTAAACAAAGAGTATGATTCTATAAATATTATTCTGAAACTTGAGATGTTATAAGAGCATTTAGGGTTCTTCCTCTTTCCTTTTCATAGCTGCATAGTACTCCCTCATGTAGATAGATCTTAGCTAGTTCAATCAGTTCCTATATTTTGACATCTGCATTATTTCCAATTTTTTGCTATTGTATATAATCCTGAACCAACAAACTATTGCAAAACTCCCCTTCCACAGCAATATAGGGAACGCCTGTTTAATTACAGCCTTACCTGAAGAGTACAGTATATGGTTAAACTTTTGGATTCTTGCCAATTAAATACGTTATAGAGAATAATGTCAGTGATGTTTAATATTGCATTCTCTTCTTTTAAACATTGAACAAGTTTTTATATGCTCATACATAATTTTCTGTTTCTCTCCATGAACTTTCTATTTAAACCTTTTGCTGATAAGATGGCATTTAAATAAGAGATCTAAAGGCTGTTTCTGTATGATTTTTTAAGTTGGTATTTAAATAGAGATCCAAAGGCAAATCATACAGAGACAGCAAATCATATGGATATTTGGAGGAATAGAATTCCACACTAAAGGAACCCCCGGGCACATGGAAGTATAAACAAAAAGAATATTATGGGAGAAAAGAGAATTGTAAAATGAGAAGAGGACTAGGTCAGGTAGAGCTGAGAGCCTCAGATATGGACTCGGCCATTCCTCTGAATGAAGGATGAGCTATCCATTGAAAGATTAAGAGATAAAATGACTATGATCCCACGCATGCGTCCACAGGATCACTCTGGCTGCTGAATGGAGAATAGATTGCAAGAATGGAGCAGGGAGGTCAGTTAGAAGACAATTATAATATCCAGATGAGAAATAATCGTGGTTTGGACTGGGGAAGTAATGCACCTTCACACTCTAACCCTACACCACAATATACATATGGTCTATGTCATGAGAATACATTCATTCACTCAGTTCTTGTGTGTATTTTCCACACATTTTATAGGCACAGGATACTACAAGAATAGTCTTGGAGATTGAGTGTAATGTTTTTAGCTCTCAGCATCTCAGGGAAGTCCTACTGCTTAGTCAAATTTAATAGTTTTTGTGGTTTTTTTTTTTTTTAAATTTACACAGGCTTTCTTAATATCTTGAGCTTTTTTTGATAGTTTCACTGTCTCACTTTTTGGTCCATTTGTAATCCCTTTTTTGCCTGTTTGTAGATGGGAGAGAGCTGCTTATATCCTTACTTTATTTTTTTTAAGATTTATTTATTTGTGCATACAGAGCTGGGGTACAGGCCAGAGGCTCAGGGGGCGGTGAGAGGCTTCACCAGAGACAGAGTGGGGAGCAGAATAGGCAGATCGATGAAGTACACTGCTGAGGGGAGCAGTGGGCGGGTCAGGAGAGGTCTGCCACGCCATGTGGTCACCTCCAGGGCAG